AAGTAAATGAAATACTCCACAACATAAGAAGTACACAGGCAGCTATAACTGAGGGATGTGCAAAACAAACATATGGATATACTCTGGGTGTATACACTTACAGGAAGAAAGAAAAAATAATCAAATTTAAAAATTTGTTTTCAATGATGAAAATTAGAAGTTCAGAAAAAAAGAATAGAGCTAAGTAGTCAAGAAAATGCCTCTTCTTCAAATGGATATACTTGTTTCCAGAGATGATCTAGAAAGCACTGAGTGTCTCATAAGAGAGTTCATTACCCATGTGGGCTTAATTATAAAGCAGGTGTTGTATGAGCACATGGAAGACATCATGGTCTTAGAGTTGAAAGAAGGACATAAGCAGAGTTGATCACAAAATAAAACTGCAAAGTAAACGCAAAACAAGAGAAAGTCTCACAGAATGCAGAGGATAAGGCCAAAAATAAAATAAATAAATAAATAAATAAAGATATGTAGAGCCTGTTCAGGAGATACAATCTACACATAGTAGGAATACCCGAAACAGAGGACAAAGCAAATGAAGCTTTAATTTAATTTAATTTAATGAAACAATAATTAAGGAACTGTAGGTCTGGGGATGTAGCTCAGTGGCACAGTGCCTGCCTGGCAAGCTCAAGGTCCTGAGTTTGATCCTTGGTACCAAAAAAAAAAAAGGAACTGTATCTTTAAAATTTAAAGAAAAGAAAACACCATTTAGCTATATCCTGGTGGTGACTTTTAAAAATTTTAAGAATTAAGAAAACAAATTTTGCAAGTAATCCAGACAGAGAAAACAATTTACCTATACAGGGGCAAGTATTTCTTGCAATTCTAAATGGCAGAACACAATGAACAACATCTACACAGTTTTAGGGGAAATAATTTTGGGAGGTTTTTTGGGTTGTTTTTTGCTTTTTTGTTTTTGGTACCCGGGATTGAACTCAGGACCTTTGTGCTTTTGAGGCAGGTGGTGGAACCACTGAGCTAAATCCCCAGCCCTAGGGGAAGTAATTTTGAACCAAGAATTATAAACACTGCCAACTTAGTATTTCTGCCTGAAGGCAAATGGAAGACATTCTCAGACAACAAGAGGTTAAGAAAGTACATATATCGACCAAGAACCTCTCTGAAAAATTCGCTGAATGATTTACTGCAGCCAACAGAAAAATTACAGAGTAGGGACCTGAATGTATGAAAGGTTTGATGGTCATCATTAAAACTAGTTTAAAAGCCGGCCAGGGATTTAGCTCAGTGGCGCCTGCCTCGCACCTGCCTTGCAAGCACAAGGTCCTGAGTTCGATCCCCGGTAGGGATGGGTGGGTGTGTGTGTGTGTGTGTGTGTGTGTGTGTGTGTGTAGGGGAGGCCCTAAAAAAGCATGAAATCTAAAATTGTTACATATAGGGTAATAAACCTAAATGCAAAATAGATTTGTATTCCAGATACAAAATTTCCAGTTTATGTGGTTTTAAACTGTCAAAATAGATGCCAAACATTAGTGTACTGTGAAAATAAACAGTTTTATTTTTTGCCATGTAATACTGATATAAGAGAAATATAATTCCCTATTAGATGTCAAATATGCTGAGTTTGTGGTCCTACAATATGAGGAACAGCAGGCATGGTGGTGCACGCCTGTAATCCCAGCACTTGGAGGCTGAGGCAGGAGGATTACTGCCAGTTCAAAGCCAGGCAGGGCTAAACAGTGAGTTCAAGAGCAGACTGAACTACAAAGTGAGACCCTATCTCAAAAGCCAAAACAAACAAACAAACAAACAAGCAAACACCTCAAACTAAAAAACAAATTAAAAAACTCACATCAAGGAATAAAATTTCGAACCAAGGGAAGAAGTTAGGAGAGTTTTATGGGAAATAAGGAGAGAATAGCTCCTGGATTTCCAGAAGGGGTCCTGAATGGGGTGGTCACCAAGGCCCTTTGTCAGGGGTTAATTTATGCAGCAAAGTCACAATGTGGGTCAAACAACAGCCAACCTATAGGATTACAAGTTGTCTTTTCTCTTGTTGCTGAGACAAAATTCCCAACACCCAAAGTTAAAGGGGGAAAGGTTTATTTGGCTTAAAGTTCATAGAAGTTTCAGTCCATAATCCACTAGCTCCAAGGCAGAGTGGCAGAGGGGCAATAGCTCATGGCAGTGGAAGACAGCAAAAGCAACAGGAGACTTTAACAGTGTCTTCCTGCCCCTTTTTATCTTATTCAGACTACTCAGGGCAGGTAGCACTCACACCCTTAATCCTAGAGTTCTTGAGCCCTTAGCTAGCACTGCACCATGAATCACACACTCTAGATTCAGCTACCTCTGAAATAGCCCCATCTCATTCTCATGAGGCCTGGGGCAGGGGGTCTAAACACAAGCCATAACACAAGTATAGTAGTCGCAAAGCTAATATTGATCCAATAGGGAAATGAGTCACGTACTTGTCAAGAATAAAAGCATCTTTCAGAAGGGATGCTCTGGTCACTCACCTGGGCCGATGATGCCTATCTGGTCTTACTGGACCAGGTGGTGCTAATTATAGTAATAATCTCAAGTTGCTGTTTATTCATTAGGGAGGCATGTAGGTCTGGCTGTCACATCTTTATCTTGAGGCATGGCCTTCTTCAGATGCTCCTCCAGCCACCATTCTGATGTCTTTATTTTTGTGCTGACTTCCTTGAAGGCCCAGTTCATTGTTTTTTGGGGTTTTTTTTGGTACCGGGGATTGAACTCAGGACCCTGTGCTTGCAAGGAACCACTGAGCTAAATCCTCGGGCCCCCAGTCCCTTTCTGACTGTATATTAATATCTACCTAACTTAGCTGCCTATAATAGTATTATAAAGATTCATGTTGTTAAGCCATAAAAGTGCTTTGTCACTGTGGGCAGGACAGTACAGTATAGGCATTCTAAATGTTAACCTGACACAACTAGAAAATGGTAGATTTCCCTTAAAAAAAAACTAGCAAGTTTATAACGTTAAAACTGATAATGTAATTTTGAAGAAAATTTCCAAAGCACTGGTTGGAAAAAACAGTAATGACTGCATGAGATGGTAGTTCATGGAAGTCAATTTGTCATTGAGTTGTGGACAAAAACAGAATATATATATATTTGAAGTTTCTGGAATTGAAAACAAGTGAAAAACCAAGAAAAAGTAACAGGAGAAAAATACTAAGGAAGCATTAAAATTTGCACAAAAGATACTGACAGACACACAGGTGAATTATACTCATAAACTCATTAAATTCCCAATTAATAAGATCCAAATTGAATTAAAAAAATCTCTGATCCAAGATACATTTGTATAAAACAAAGGCTAAAAGGGTTTAATGGTAATAGAAACTCTTTAGGTCATAGAAATGGAGAACAGCATTTTTATTAGGCAGAAATAAGGCTATTACAAGATATTTCACATTTAAACACTGAAAAGAGGGCCGGGGATTTAGCTGAGGGGTTTCGCCGCCTGCTGTGCAGGCACAAGGACCCAAGTTGGATCCCGGATACCAAAAAAAAACCAAAAACACAAAAAAAATTGAAGAGATTATGTGGCATTTATATGTAAGATATTTGTTCAGTATCTAGACGTAGATGGTAGTTTTACTGCTGTAAACTGAAATAGACACATATATTTTAAAGCACATTTAAAATTAGTGTATTTAATATACTTAAAATTCATCAAGTAATCCTTCAGTTAAAGAGAACCAAGTAGAAAAACAGAAAAAAAAAAAATTAATTTTCCCTACCTGACTTAATTCTGAATACAGATTTTTAGTAGCTTTAGGTATTTTAAAAAATTAATTGGTTGGGGCCGGGGATTTAGCTCAGTGGTTTCGACCCGAGTTCGATCCCCATTATCAAAAAAAAAAAGGCATTTTTAAAAGCACAAAGGAGGAGCCAGGGATTTAGCTCAGTGGTTCCCGCACCTGCTTCACAAGCACAAGGTCCCCAGCTCAATCCCTGGTACCAAAAACAAAGCAAACAAACAAAAAAAGCACAAAGGAATATTCAGAGAGAAGTGAAGTAAAGGAGGTCCTCTCCCTAGAGATAAACATTATCATTTGTTTCCATTACTAAAACTAGACTGTTTTCTACTGTAAACAGAATGGCTGAGTCACATTCTGTTTTAAAGCTTGATTGGAAGAACTAATCTGAAAACCAGACAATTATATGGATAATGCATTCAGAAGAAAGGATATCAGGAGAACCCAATCTCTGCAGATGAATGCAAATGAAATGTGGTACACAGAAGGAAATATAGACAGGAAAGGCATGGCTTTGTGGGCACTTTCTGTTCCCATGGCCATAAATAAGCTAGGACAGCAGCAGGCTCCCCTCAGATTTTTTTTTTTTAACTTTTCACTTTCTAATCCATGAAATAGGGAAAGTGTTCCCCACCTCATTTAGTTCTTAGGTACATGCTTTGACTTCTCCACATTCCTTTAAACTTGTTTCTTAGCTTTCTTTGTGGAATGTTTTCATTTAACAGCATTTGGATATTGACACTCCTTGTCTAAGGACTGAGTTCCCTCCCTGTGAGTAGGTCATTAATTGAATTAATTGTTAAATGAGGAACTGTATATAGTATGTACATTACAATACTCAGAACAAAGAAACAAAGGAAACTCCACCTTGATGACTTTGCTTTTATTTGCATAACTCTTACATACAGTAAAATAATGTGTAACAGAACATAAAACTACAGTACTGTATAGTAAAATCAGGAAAAATTACAGTGCTATAGAGACAAGGTATACTGCACCAGAAAAAAAAAAAAGACATTGAGGCTCTATAAGATGTACAGAACTGTACACCCCACAAAAAAAGACAGGTCATAAGTCCAGGCAGCATAAATCTGAACAACTCACCTCAGTCCGAACAGTTGTTAAACAGGTAGTTTAAATAAGCAATATCTGCACCCATACGTCTAAGGAAAAAATTTTGTGTGAAAGAACAAAGACTTCTATAAAAGGCTTCTATGTACAGAATCAAAAATTCTCTAACAATTACCTTTTGTTCTTCTCTTTCTGTTGCATGGTGACATTTTTCAATTCTCCAGTGCCTCAAGAAATCTCGAAGATATCCAAAGAGGGTGAGGACACCATACCCTACATATGTGAGCACAGCAACCAGCATGGGTGTTTCTTCAAAAGCTTCATTAAATGGTCTTTTATAAAGTCCTCCATTTTCTGTAACATGATGGATCTGAAAGAGAAGTTGAAAATGTGTATTTCAAACTCAGCAAAAGACTTCTATCTAAAGTCTAAGTTCTAAGAGATCTGTAGAAAGTACCTTGAGAATTGCGCAGTAGTCCAAAGAAACATGAAGATCTAAGCAGGAAACACTTGTTTTTAATAGAAATAATTTATAAATCACATATACTTCACAGGAAGAGCTTTAAAAATTAATAAATAAATGAATAAGGACTGAGAAGGGCTGATTAAACAATGCCTAACACTAGTTTTTATATTTCCTGAAATAGATTCTAAAATGCTATGATTGAGGTGGGCCCAGCTACTTGGGAGGCTGAGTGGTGGGAGGATAGTGAGTTTGAGATCACTGTGGACACCAGAGCAAGAACTTGTCTCTAAAACAAAACAAAGAAAATAAAAAATATAATAAAGACAAAGCCTATTCTGAAAAATATTGTTAGCTTATCAATGAAGCAATCAAAAGTTCAAAAGCAAATTCAGTTTTAGAATCCAAGTATCTGTAAATGTTTTACTACTATGCAGCCTTAAAGCTACTCAGCCATAGTACTCCAAGTAACTGCCAGCACTAGGCCACTGTGGAACATGGGGTTCATATTAACCTTAGTCAATGATAAGACAGGTTATGCCCAAAGTAAAATACTTATATAAGTGTGGTCCAGCATTGGATAAGGGTAGAAAGAAAGATAGGTACACTGGCACACACCTATTGGCCCAGCTACTCAAGATGCTCAGGTGGGAGGACCACTTGAGCCCAAGAGTTTGAGGCTAGCCTGGGTGACACAGCAGGATCCTGTCTCTTAAATAAGAAAATTGTTTAAAAGTTAACAACATAAGCAGGGCCCAATGATACACAGCTGTAATACCAGTTACCTGGCACGCTGAGGCAGGAGGATAATGAGTTTGAACCCAGCCTCAGCAATTTAGCAACCTGATGAGACTCTGACTCAAAATAAAACAAAATGAAGGGCCTGGGATTTAGCTCAGTGGTTCTGCCACCTGCCTCATAAGCTCAAGGTCCTGAGTTCGATCCCCAGTACCAAAAAAACCCACAAAAGCAAAATAAAAAGGACTGGGCGAGTAGGTCAGTGTGCTGGGTTCAATGTCCAGTACCACCCTCACAGGAAAAAAGTCAGTATAAAGAGGCTGGTCAGCTGGGCAAAACTTCTTGAAACACAATAAAAATAACATTCTGTTGGGAGCCATTCTACATGATTTTAGGGAAAAATTATTTCACATTTAAATTATGATTAGGCCTAGTCTTCTTGCCTACAGGCCAGCTATGACATGCCAAAACATAACTCCATTTTTGCCTCTGATCACAGCCGAGACCTCAATGATCCAGTAATGCTGTGACACCCAAGGGCAGGATTACATCACCTGAAGACATCCTGGTTCCTTGAGAACCCAGTAGTAAGAGAAAGGTTTTACCTGGGGAGGGACAAATTCCTTATTAGCTTAACTCATCCCACCCACTGTTGTTAAGAACATCTTGCTCCCCGGGGATTTAGCTCAGTGGTTCCGGCGCCTGCCTCGCAAGCCCAAGGTCACGAGTTCATCCCCCGGCACAAAAAAAAAAAAAAAAGTGAACAAGAACATCTTGCTCATCTTACCTTCCTAATCAACATAAGCTCCTCATCCACCTGAGATCCTCATCAGCATAAAGATCCTTGTCAATTTAGGATTACTGCCACCCTCTGAGACATCTGATTATAAGATCCCCATCATCCTAGGTTTACCGCTGCCCTCTGAGTCATCTGTTACTCCCTATTAACCCAATAAATACTGGCAAGTGTGGGGTGCCTTCAGCTTTTCTGCCCAGAGCAGCACTGACCAGGCCCAGAACTCAGCTTCTTCTCTGGGTCTCATTTCTGGCCTTTATTCTTTATTTGCCTTGTGCTGTCGTGGCTCACAGGAGACCAGGACCCACTGCAGAGGTTCTGCTCACGTTCTCTTTCCCTGTTCGCTACAACATTCTAATCATTTCCTTAAGAACTATACCTTAAAATATTTTGCCTTATCAAAGCTGTATTTAATATCAGCGCCAAACTGTCCTCAAACCTAAAACTGTTTAAACTATTCATTCTCAACTGTACATATCATTAAAAAGCCAGGTGCCTCTCTAATGTAGAGCCAACTTATATGTCAGGAACACTGTGGGTGAATTTCTTGTAAAGGTATTTCAGACATACCCAAAACAGTAGAAGTAAATTTATACTATAGGATGTACTATGCAGGAAGGAGCCAGTTAAACCATTAGTCCACCCCCTCCCCCATTTTCGTCTTTTTTGCAGTGCTGGGGATCAAAGTCACATCCTCTGCATGCTAGGCAAGTGCTCTACCACTAAACTACAACCCTAGCCCATTAGCTTACTGTGTGATTCTATCAGTCTTATTTAAAATTAAATGTATTTTAAACTGGGCATGGTGGTTCATACCTATAATCCCAACACTCTGGGAGGCTGAGGCAGGAGGATCACAAGTTTGAGTCCAGCTTGGGCAACTTAGCATCTTAGTGAAACCCTGTCTCAAATAAAAAATTTTAAACAAAGGGTTGGAGATGTAGCTCAGTGCCAAGGCCCCAGGTTCAGTTTCTAGTAATTAACACATGTGAAAAAAAAAAAAAGTAAATAAATAAATAAATGTATGTTAACTAAAGTTCTAACATAAAGTGACTTTTGGAAAGTGACTTCTTAACACCAGGGACCCTGATCATGCAGGAACAAAATGGACCAGCCAAATGATATGCAAACATCTCACAGGTAAATTAGAAACAGTGGAGCTGAAGGAGTTACTCCCATCCCTCCATTTAATTCTAAACAGTTCCCCCCAGTTGGTTATTCCTGCTTCCATTGTCTTAAGAGAGAGAGAAAATAGGGCCGGGGATTTAGCTCAGTGGCGCTGCACCTGCCTGGCATGCACAAGGTCCTGAGTTCGATCCCTGGTACTGGAAAAAAAAAAAGAGATAGAAAATTAAAGAGCAAAAACTCAGATCCCCAATGCTCTGATCTTATCTTAAGGTCATCCCCTACCCTACTCCCACCTCAGTACAGATTCATAAATATGCGTTACATGTCATAAATATGATTAAGATCAGAGTGGATTCTGGGATGACTAGCCAAGTTGGGAGCCCCTCAGCACCCGTCAATCACACCTACAGAGTCAGTGCAAGGCACCCAAGCTGAGGTGTATAGCTTTTAAATTCAGAAAGTCTGATTTATCTGTGCTTTTGTTACTCTGTTGCTACTTTTGTGTGCTCTGACCTATGTGCCGTGTTTTTCTCTAACCCCAGCATCTTTCTTGCTCCATGCTATTTCTTTTGTTGGCACACACTTTCCCTGAGCACAACTTCTGGTGATCTTCAATAAATGTAGATGCTTTCTACCTACCACTGGATATACACTTGGCAATTTTTTCTTGTCATACAAAAGAGCCTGGACAATATTCTATCAGCCCATTTCCTAGCAACAAGTCTTAGAATTAAGAGAGAGCAAAATAATTTGATCTTTAAGTATAGATGTTGACATTTACCTTTCATGTGATTCAACAATAAGGGCATCACCATGGTGTACGTGTATAATGTTCCATGAGGGAAACTAGCAGACCATTTTGGGGTTTTTTGGTAGTGGGGATCGAACTCGGGACCTTGCGCTTTCAAGGCGAGGCAGGCGGTGACACCACTGAGCTAAATCCCCTGCCCCTAGACTATTTTGTTTATGAGCGCACATTCAGCACCCAGCACAGTATTTATTACTAACAAAAAGTTAACATGTATCCAATAACATTTCCTTTTATTACTACTGCAGAAAGTGACATCTCACAGGAATGTAATAAATCTTTGTCAAATTGATGAAAATATACTTTATGTTCTTTGCTCTTTCAAAACAAGTACCCTGGCAAAGAAGGGATTCAGTTATAGAGATTACACAATACTAAGGTACTTCTAGAACTCAGACCTGATGCCTTTTAGTTTCTTTTTTAAAAATTTTATTTTATCCCATTCCCCCTCAAGCCCCATCCCCTCCCTATTGCCTTTCAGTTCCGAGTGCACTAGCAGTGATATCTAAGCAAAACATGGGCTATTAACTCTTAAGTTTATTTCAAATTCCACATTCACCAGGAGGCCTCTTAATAAGTCAGTCATTCTAACTAAGAGTTATACTGTCAACCAAGTAATCAAGAAAATAATAGTTTATCATTCCCTCCAAATTTGAGAAACAGTATGTTCACAGGAAGCAGACAAGAATGTAACACTGTTAACATTATACAATATAGGGTAAGATTTAGGTATACCTACAAATACCAAAATACAACTACTTCAAGCAAATGCAAATAGAAAACAAAAAGGCAAGGAAGAAATTTTTTCCCTTGCCTCTTGTATCACCTATTTTGGTCAACATCACCATTCAGTCCACTTTATTTTCTGGCTCCCATCAGAAGAAGTAATGAATTTTTTTTTGCCTTAGTTCAAATTATTGTTGGGTACCAAGGAATTTTAAGGAGGCTGAAAATGTTGTATATCTTGAGATGGGCATGGAATATACAATATATACTAATGCTCACAGTGCTATACACTTCCATAATAGACTAGCACATTTTTTTACATAATAGCCTACCATAGTGGACTAGCGTATTTTACTCTACTACTCTTTTTTGGTAACAGAGTTTGCACTTGGGACATTGCACTTGTGAGGTAGGTGGCAGAACCACTGAGCTAAATCCCTGGTCCCTACTTACTTTTTTTTTTGGAGACAGGGTCTCACTGTGTAGTTCATACTGGCCTTGAACTCACTATGTACTCTAGGCTGGCTTTGAACTCAAGGTAATCCTCCTGCCTCAGCCTCCCAAGTGCTGGGATTATAGACATTTGCCACAATGCCCAGCTTTATTCTATTTTTAAAAATTAGTGCCTTTTTCTTTGATGAACTACTACTACAATATCCTTCTTCCCATTAGGTCTCCTGGCAACAATGAGTATCCCCATACTCAAATTAT